GAAACCAGAGAGAAATCACCTGGGATGGGGGATGGAATGTGTCATGTGCTCTTGTGTGAGTGCAGGTGAAAGCAGTGTACAAATTCAGTGTTTAATCACATTGTCTCTTGGTAGTTTCTGAGACATAAAAGGTGATTCTCCCTTGAGGTGAGATGTTAAGAAGCCACTAGGCACTCTTTATACCTGGCCTGGATGGTCAGAGCCCACTCCATCAAAAAGGCATTCGGGGCACCTGGGTGGCTCCGTCACTTAGACGCACGGTTTCATCTCGGGTTATGATCTCTCGGCTCTTGAGTTCAAGCCTCACATTGAGCTACTTGCTGTCTGCACAGGGTTCACTTCAGATCCTCTCTCTCCTCTCTCTGCCTCTCCCCCACTCGTGCTCTCCCTCTGTCTCTCTCAACAATAAATAGACATTAAAAGACATTTTTAAGGGCATTCAGAATAAGTTATCGTGTGTAGTTTGGCAAATTGTACACGAGTTCTAGGTTTTTAGTGCAGGTTAAATTAATAAAAACAAGGGGGATTCAGATGGAAGGGCCCCTGGGAGGCAGAGAGCTGTTGATCCTCGATGCATATTTGAGAAGCTTTGTGTTGCACGTAACTGGGGACCTGTACCTTATACCTGCGTTGAATGATATATCGTGTAATAGGGAAGTATTAGTTTTCCTTGCTAATCAGCATTTTGACTGATTAGATTTTCTTTGTTCTAGAATACTACATATTTGCTGACAGCTGCTGATTTAAAAAACAAAAAATCCCAGCAGAGTGGGTGTTATCATTGGGGTTCCAATTAGTCATACTAATAAACACCATGTTGAGTTGTCAATAGGCCATGTACTGTGCCAGGCACTTAACACATATGAACTACAGTCCGCCATCCTGTAAGACAGTGCCTATCCAACCCACTTCACACATGCAGAGTCTGAGACTCACACAGGTTAGTAATGTGCCTGGATTCACACAGCTGTTAGGGGACAGCGTTGAAACTAGACTCTAGTCTGGACTATAGGTCTAGAGTCAACACTGTTCTACTTCTGGCCTGAGGTCCACTTTCTTAATTTAGTTTTCCAGTTTCTTCTTTAAAATATATCTCCGGCAACTAGAAGAAGGACTCCGTGCTCAAACCGCTGGGTTGGAATACATTCCCACAGCAGTATGAATACCAAAGTAAATGAGAGGCATGAAGAAGGAAAAGAATACATAGTGACAGTATGATCATCTATACATGAAATTTCAGATGACCTTAAAGGATGAGGGGCTTACAATGTCATCCTGGACAGCCCCTTCCCAGGAGAGTGCAAATCTATATGAACAGATTTTACATGAGACTGAATCTTGCTGATGAAGGGAAAGGAAATGTCTACGTATTTCACCTCTCACAGATCATCGCCTCCTGAGACTCGGGCCTTGTGCATTAGCTTCCCCATCTGCCATCACTCCCAGGACAGGATCCAAGGTTTGCACAGGGGAAACTGCTCATGGGCTTCCAGGGATGTGGCATTTTCCAGAAAGCCTTTATTAACCCAAGAGGCAGGGACCAAGATGAAGAGCCCAAGGTTAGAGGGCCTGAGAGACCGATACCCCAGAATATGGGGGATCAGAGTAGGCTGCCACCTGCTCTCATTACAGGGCCTTAGACAGAGCTGGCAGGCTGAGCATACCCTCACTTACTCGTCAGGCCTCTCCAGGACTTAAGAATTTTGGTCCAAGAAGGACAATCTCAGGTCAGTAGAAGGAGGAGTCCCAGCCTCTGACAGATACGAACATGAGGACCCCAAACGAGGAATGGTGGAAGGACTCAGCCAGAACAGTGGGGTTCCATGAAGTCTGGCTTAGGTCCTCAACTGTAGGAGATCCAGCACAGTATGTCTGGATGTGGCTGATTCTGACTTCCACCTCAGAGGTCCCCAGATGGTGTATACCTTGATTTCATGGGAGCAGCAGACAATGGAGTTCCAAGACGGGTCAGGTGTCAGGATGAAGACTCTGAATCAGAATGAGGGAATCACTCATCCCAGAACAGAAGATCCCTACAAATGCCCCGGTGCTGTTGGTTCTGGGATGCTCAGGACAGAATTGTGAGGTGGAAAAACCTCCTCATTCTCCCTGGAGTATCTCATGTAGGTGAGGATCTTGGACCAGTGGGGACAGCCCTAGATGTGCAGAGAAAGAAAACACAGGCCTTAACAAGAGTCATAGTAGGGGCCCCCGACTGTTAGGTAGGCACCCTCCTACCAGCAGAGGGTATCAAACAGGGATCCATCCTATTCTTAGCCCCGGGAGGCCCCAGAAGAGCTTGTCAGTTCTCGATCAGCCCCAGTTCGGCCAAGGGAGGAGTCCTGGCTTTAATTGAAGATGAGGACCCTGAGTGCTAAAGAGGGGAAAACGGCCTTAGAAAAAGCTTCCCAGAACCCTGTTCGTGCTTTCAGACTTGTGCAGCCCAGGAAGGCAGGACCAGGGCGTGCCTTCTAGCCACTCGGGAGAGTGGAGCTTTGGAGGCCAGCGGGCCTGAGCCGGCAGGGGGAGGAGCCCCAGGCTCTGACAGACGTGGCGAGAACCCTCGCGATGACATGGGGACCACCGAGTTCTAGGCGGTGCAGTCCTAGAGCGCCCACCCCTGCTTTCCACCCTCAGAGGCCCCAGGCCGCTGATAAAGGCCGGACGCAGCTCAGCCGACTTCCTTTCTGGCCCGGACCTCAACGCTGCTGGCTGTGGTGTGCGTTTGGCTGCTGGAATCCAGGGACGGGGCTGAAAGAAACTAAGGTGAGGACGCTGCTCGGGACCTGAAGAGACTACTCCTTGCACCCCCGTACCAGGGTTGACCCCTACCCGAAATCGGCCCATTCGGTCCGGCTCAGGGTGGTCCCAGCGGAATATCAGGCCAAATTTGACCTAGAAAATCTCAGAGACAAGGCATCTATCTACGGGAGTAGTCCTGATTCTAGTGATGGAGGAGATCTAGGTCCTAACTAGATTCAAGACGAGGGCCCCGAGTGCTAACGAGCAGATCTTTACCCAACAGAAGGGGCCATCCCAGGAAGCACCCCTGCACTCAGCTCTAGGAGGCTCCAAACTGGGTAGACAGATGCCGAGAGAGCTACCTTCCCTTCTAGCAGCTAAGAGGATTCAGAGTTATGCTCGACAGCTCGCAAACTAAGCAAAGGAGGCCCGGGGCAGAGCTGGCAAGCTCAGGTGCCCCCTCATTTTCTTTGGAGTGATCTCAGGAAGTGAGGGCTTTGACCTAATGGAGTAAGCCCCATTCATCAGAAGGAACCCAGTCCCCATACAGGTATCGAGGCTCTGACACGGAGTGATAATGGGAGACTCCTCCAGGAAAGAAGGGGGCCACATAAAGCCCAAGCCCTGTTTTCACACTTGAGAAACTTGGGCCTGGTGACATGATTCATTACACTAGCTTCTTCCCAGGACATCTCAGGGAGGCGAGGAACCAGGTCAAAGGGGGAAGCCTCAGGGGGCACCTGGGTGGCTCAATTGGTTAAGCGGCCGACTTTGGCTCAGGTCATGATCTCCCAGTTCGTGGGTTTGAGCCTCAATTCTGGCTTTGTGCTGACAGCTCAGAATCTGGAGCCTGCTTCAAACTTAGTGTCTCCCTCTCTCTCTGCTTCTCCACCACTGCTGCTCTATCACTCTCTATCAAAATTAAATAAACATTAATTTAAAAAAAGGGGGGGAGAGGGAAAGCCTCAGGCTAGCAGAGGGAGGATTTGGGGTTATGCTACATGTCATGTTCGTCAGTTTGAGCCTTGCGTGGGCCTCTGCACTGATGGCCCCGTGCCTGCTTGGATTTTTTTCTCTCTGCCATCTGCTGCTCATTCTCTCTCTCTCTCCTTCCTCACTCTTGCAAAAGCAATAAATAAATAAAAGTCCTGCCTATTATCACTTCTGGGAGACCTCCAGAATAGATGTCACATGAAGTGCTCAACAGTTTCCACTCCATGGTAACAGAAAAGTGGTTCTAGATGAGCTGAGGGAGAAATCTTAGACCCTGTTATGAGTCAGATTTAGACCTTGAGTTAGGATGCTGTGGAGGACCACCTACCATAGGACATCAACCTTCCTGCAATAGCTTTTATTCTTGGGAGACCACCTTTGGTCAGTTGAGATTGTCTGCACTTATTCCTCTTGGGATTTATGCTCTTAATATGAGGACATAGTCATCAATTCAAGAAAAAGTGGAGGCTCTCTACCAGGAGCCAAACTGAGGAACCTGAGTGAGGACTCTAGGGATCATCCAGTCCTGAATAGAGGGGGCATCAAACCATCTATCCCTTTGATTTTAGCCCAAGAAGCCTCAGGGGAGGGCTCTCAGGTTGAGCATCCCCTTCATTTCTTTATACGAGACCTAAAGGAGGTGATATTCTTAGTCTGAAGGAACAACCAAAGTTAACAAGGGGGAGTGATTCTGAGTTTTTAAGGAACCAAAGCGAAGACCTTAAATGAAGGCTGAGGATCCCAGTGAACTCCGGACAGAAAGGACCCTACTGAGCTCTCAGCCCTGGGCAGGGAAGTAGATTGAGGTGCCCCTTCACTTCCTTCTTCTGGGTCCTTGGGGGCTTTGAGGCATCAACTTTCAAATAGCAGAGGGAAGGGTGCCCCAGCTCTGCCAAGAGTTGACATAATACTAAAGGTAAATGGTGAGGACCCAACATGCCAGAACATGGGAGCCCCTACCTCAAACACCTGCTCTCACCTGACTAAACCCAAGGCAGAGTGAGTAGGATGCAAATAAGACTCACTTGAAGAGTCTGTGGTTCCTCTATAGGATTCTTAGGTGACAGGATGACCAAGAGAACAGAGGCCTTTGTGGAGTCTTAGAGAAGTATCCTCAAGGACCCTGCTGAGATTGCCTTTGATAAAGCCAAAGTGGAATCTACCTCTTGAAGGTGTTAACATCATCTTATTCTCGCTTCTGCAGTTGCCCAAATCACCTGTCCACTGGCTCACAGCCTTGCCTGCTATCCCTGATCACAGCCATTATGCCTCGTGGTCAGAAGAGTAAGCTCCGTGCTCGTGAGAAACGCTGTCTTAACAGAGGCGAGACCCAAGGTCCTAACAGTGCTCAGGCCACTACAGCAGAGGAAGAAGAGACCACTTCTTCCTCCTCTCCTGTTCTTGGGGATGCTTCCTCAAGCTCCCCTATTGCTGGCACTTCCCAGGAGCCTCAAAAAGTCCCAGCCACCACCAGAGCATGTGTTTCACGGCGAGGATATAAGGCAGGTGCCAAGAGCCAGGTTGAGGAAAGTGAAAATTCCTCCCCAGCCTCAACTTCCACTGAGAAAGCTCAAAAAGATCCTCTAAACGGGAGGGTGGGGATGTTGATACAATTCCTGCTGTGTAAGTTTAAATTGAAAGAGCCCATTAAGAAGATAGACATGATGAAGGCCATCCACACAAGGAACAGGGAGCAGTTCGCTGAGATCCTCAGGAGAGCCTCTGAGCGCATGGAGCTGGTCTTTGGCCTCGAATTAAAGGAAGTCAAGCCTGGCAGTAACTCCTACACCTTTGTCAGCAACCTAGACTTCACCGACGATGGCGCTATGAGCAATCTCTGGGGTTTTCCTAAGAGTGGGCTTCTCATGCCTCTCCTGGGTATCATCTTCCTGAATGGCAGCTGCACCTCTGAGGAGCATATCTGGGAATTCCTGAATATTTTGGGTGTGTATGATGGAAGGAGGCACTTCATCTTCGGGGAGCCCAGGAAGCTCATCACCCAAGATCTGGTTCAGGAAAAGTACCTGGAGTACCACCAGGTGCCCGGCAGCGACCCCCCGAGCTATGAGTTCCTGTGGGGCCCCCGAGCCCACACCGACATCAGCAAGATGAAAGTCCTGGAGTTTTTGGCCAAGATCCATGATACCGTCCCCAGTGCCTTCCCGCTCCATTATGCAGAGGCTCTGCAAGAAGAGGAAGAGAGAGCCCAAGCTGCAGCTGCAACCAAGGATGCCTCTACTGCCAAGGCCATTGCACGTCCCTGGGCCGCATCTGGCCACTCGTCTCCTCCCTAGAGAGGGCTGAGGCAGATTCTTGGCTTTGTCATAGGAAGGCCTGTCAAGTAGTGTTTCCCATAGGCACAAATAACTTGTTGATTACCTTGTTTAAAAAATGTTTTTCAGGCACTGTTCCTTTCAATAGAAAGTTTATTTAGATTCAGAATATAAGTTTATGAAAGACAAGGATCACACATTTATTGTTGTTTTTCAGGCTGAGGAGTAAGAATTTTATTATTTTTTTTTTTTTTGAAATACAGATGGGAAATCTTTAAATCATTTTTGTGATCCAGAGCAAGATAACATGGCTTTAAGATAGGAATATCCTTGGAAATGTGAAAGAATTCCACACTAAAATAGTTGGGATGGATAGATGGATGGGTAGATAGATATGTTACATACATAGACATAGAGATAGATGGATAGGTACATAGATACATAGATTATATAGATACATAGGTACATAGATCTAGTAAAAATTGGTTAATTTTTGGTTTGCCTTACTCTATTTAGTCTTTTTCTAAATTTAAAAGACATGTGCCTAAATTTCTTGATGTTTACCAAGAATGTTTGATAATATATAATCATAATGAATCAAACCTCTATTTGTGTCTCTTATTTTACACAATGAGCATCTGCTCTTGGGAAGTCTTCATCCTTATACTAGGGATGTTTAGTCAAAGACCCAGCACATGCCCATGTGATTATAGGTGATAGGAGCAGCTGTCATTATGGAAGAAGGTGAAACAGTAGTACTCCATAAAGAACAAGTGAAGGGGTACCTGGGTGGCTCATTCAGTTAAGCATCTGATTTTTGCTCGGGTCATGATCTTGCGTTTTGTGGGTTCAATCCCCTCATTGGTCTCTGTGCTGACAGCTCAGAGCCTGGAGCCTGCTTTGGATTGTGTCTCCCTCTCTAGCTCTGCCCCCCCTCCCCACTGGCACTTTGCCTCTCTCCCTCTTCTCTCAAAAACAAACATTAAAAAAAAAAAGTGAAAAGCACGGTAAAGAGGGGGCAGAGAGAACATACTACTTAGTTTTCATTCCTAAGCAGAATTTTAGCTGATGAGGTTTTTCTTGGCCAGAGCACTGAATATTTTCTTTTTAAAAAATTTTTTAATGTTTTTTACTTATTTTTGAGAGTCAGAGAGAGACTGCACAAGCAAGGGAGGGTCAGAGAGAGAGAGAGAGGGAGATACAGAATCCGAAGACAGGCTCCAGGCTCTGAGCTAGCTGTCAGCACAGAGCCTGATACAGGGCTTGAACCATGAACCGTGATATGACCTGAGCCGAAGTCGGACGCTTAACCGACTGAGCCACCCAGGCACCCCAGCACTGCATATTTTCTGACATGTCTTAGATGTAAAATGAAACAAAACAAAATTCACCTACATAGTTGGTAATGTCTGATGGCAAGATAATCCTATTAATACCTGCCATTCCCCAGTGTCTCAGTACAGATGCTCTCTGTACATGACACACATTCCTCCAGTCCTACAAGACAGGGCTTTTCATACTCACTTGACAGAGGAGAGCCTGAAGTTCATAGAATTAGAGTTTCGCAGTGTGCCAAAATGCATAGGGCTAGTAAATGACAAGGCTGGGCGTAGGGTCCTGGTCAGAATTACTACAGAGCCCGCACTGTTTTACTCCTCGCACCCTGAGACTCACCTTATGTTTCTTATTTCAGTTTCCTTTTCAGTACTTCAGAATTCATCTTAGGTTTAAAAAGAGAATGGCCTTGTGTCCAAACTGCTGGGCTGGAATATATAGCCACAGCAAAAAGAATGCCAGAATGATTGAGAGGTATAAATAAATAAGTGACAGTATTAGGTGACAGTATGATCATCCACATTGCAATGCTAAATAATCTCAAAAGATCAGGGACTCTCAAAATCAGCCTAGACAATCTCTTACCTGTAGAAAGGAAACCTAGCAGAAGTTACATGAGAATCTTCAGCCAGCCAGTAAACAGAAGGAATAGATAGCTGTGTGTTTTCCCCTGACAGCCCATCACCTGTCCTGGGACTCCTGTCCTGTGCCCCCCACTTGCCCATTTCACATCACTCCCAGGACAGTCGCATTCTCTGCAACGTTTGCAAAGCAGCAGTTGCTCCCGAGTTTGCAGATGGGAAATTTCCCAGGAAGCCTTAAATCCGAGAGATGGAAACCAAGGCGAGGGCCCCATGTAGGAGGACTAGGGAGATCAATGCTCCAGAACATAGGGAATGCCAGGGACTTCAGTCCCATCTGTTCTTGAACACGGAGGGTTTCAGACACAATTGTCAGGCTGAGTGTACCCTCCCTTATTGTGCAGGCTTCTCACTGGCGTAAGAACCTTGGTCTAAGAGCCAAGTTCTCCTGTCACTAGAGGAAGGGGTATTGGTCTCTCATAAAAGTGATGGAGATAAACCTGAATGAGGATGATGGAAGATCCTAGCCACAACAGTAGGATTCCATAAAACCCTTTCCCACTTGTCAGCTCTGTGAGTCCAGAAAAGTCGTGGCTGCTTGTGGCGAATACTGACCTTGAACTCTGGTCCCAGAAAGGTGTGGCCTTTGACTGATGGCTCTATCTTGAGATTAGCAGAGAGGGTGGAATCCCAGGAAGGGTACAGGGTCAAAGTGAAGATGCTGTGTGTGGACATGGGGATCACCCAACTCCCAACTCACAGGGCTACACCTAATCCCTTCTCTGCTGTTAGCCTGGGAGGCACAGGCTAGAGTTGATAGGTTCACATGCCCCCTATCTCTGGCTTTTGCCTGGAGGGAATCAAGGATATGAGGGCCTTGGTTTTAGAGGCTGGCTGTTAAGTGGAGTCCCAGCCATGACAGTGTCAAGGTAAGAACCTTGTATGAGGAATGAGGCAAGCAACCACTCCGTACCAGATATTATGACATACCAGAGCAATACTAGTACTAAACTCAATGTGGGGTATGAATAAGTGGAAAAAAGAGATGATATTTGTAGGCAATAGGATCATCATATGTGTTTTCAGATAACCTTAAAAGATCAGGGATTCAAAAAAATGATTTGACTCAGCCTCTTCCTTATAAAAAACAAATGTATGAGAACAGAAGTTACATGAGACCTTAAACCTATACAGAGAAGAGAAGGAATAGACCAACATAATTTATTTTTCCTACAGCCCACTTACCTGGGCCCCCTGATTGGTGCTGAGAATTTCCTGTCTCACATCACCCCTGAGACAAGGATCCATTCTCTGCAAGGTATGGAGTAGGGAAACGAACACAAGAGTTTTCAAGGATGTGACATTTCCCAAGAAGCCTTTATTGGAAGTCACAAGGGCCTTTAGGAGGACACCCATGAGTCAGGACTGGGGAAGGGGGAAAGCAGCATTCCAGAGTAGTGGCTGTTACAGAGAAGCCAGCCCCTGCCTTCTCTTAGAACTAGAAGGTTCCAGGCAGATCTGACAGGCTGAGAATCTCCTCACTTTTTCATCACAGTTGTCAGGGACTTGAGAGCTTTGGTCCGAGGAAGACAATCTCAGGTCAGTAGACAGAGTTGTCAGATATAAATGTGAGGTTCCCTTAAAAGGAATGAAGGAAGCATCTACCCGGAACACTGGTGGCTCACAGAGTCCTGTTCCTGCCGGCACCCCTTGGAGGTCGTGAATTCTCTTGCATGATGAAGTATAAAGAGGCTTTGAGGGGCGCCTGGGTGGCTCAGTCAGTTAAGCATCTGACTCTTGGTTTCAGCTAAGGTCATGATCCCATGGCCCATGGGATTGAGTCCCGTGTCCAGCTCTGCACTGCCGGTGCGGAGCCTGCTTGCCATCCTCTTTTTACCTTCCTCTCTGCCCCTCCCCTGCATGTTCTTGGACTTTCTTCCTCTCCCTTCCTCCTTGTCCCCCCAAATAAAGAAATAAAAAACAGGCTTTGAGAGGTGAGAAATAGAGAACCTGAGCCAGAATTGCAGCCAAGCCTGGCACTACTGCCACAGCTGAGGTGTGTGCCAGGGCTGAGAACCTGCAGTGCCCCCACATCTAGTGAAGTCTGGAGGGGCCGGTGCGGGGGGGGAGATTTGTCATCTTGTGATGAAAAAGAGATCAGCATTCTAAGTAGTGAAGCACCTAGGTGGAAATGGAGGAGACACATTGTGTAAGTCTTCTTCTTGTCCTTGCTTTGCTTGAGTGGGAGATTTTTGTTTTTATTTTGGGGTTTCTTTTTGGCACTTTTAAAATACTGTTCCTTGTAATAGAAGGTTTATTTGATTTCAGTATTTGTGTTTATGAATAATGCATAGGTATTGCCATTGGTCAATAGAAGTATAAACGCTTTGGTATTTTGTACATCAAATTAAAAAAATCCTTGCACCTCTTTTCTTGGTCCAGAGCCAAATAACTTGTCACATAATTGTCCCTTGTCACAGGGATTGTGTTGGAAATGTGAATGAACCCTATAGTAGAACTGTTGGGATCAAGAGATAAAGAAAAGGTTTTGTCTGAGTGGCATCAGCAAGATGGTCGAATAAGAATTTCCAGCCCTTGTTGTCCCACAGAAGCACAGAACTGACAATAATATAAGTAGCAAAATGCCTTTATAAAAGATCCAGAATCTAATTAAGAAGTTGCAATACTATATGTGAGCATAAAACTGAAATCAGCTTCTCTTGAAATAGATAAGAAAAATAATTAGACTTTACTGGCATCAGTTCCTCCGTCAGGTTGGCACAACTCAGTCCTAAGAGAGATTGTGACTCCTCTCTGTGTGTTGTGGGTGGGCGGGGTGGGGGGGAGGGGGAGGCGGGGAGAGATAGGTTGAAAATCCCATGCACCAAAAAACTGTTAAAACTAATAAATGTATTCAATTGAAGGACACAAATTCAACACACAAAACCCAGTTGTGTTTCTATACACTAACAAGAAACTTTTGGAAAAATATTAAGAAAACAATTCTATTTAAAATAGCGTTGGGGCACCTGGGTGGCTCAGTCGCTTGAGCTGCCTGACCCTTGATTTCGGCTCAGGTCATGATCCTAGGGTTGTGGGATTCAG